TTCTTTCTGGAGGTCCCGAAAAGCTGTTCCCCAATTCTGCTTTTAGTGGAACTGAGTTTTAGTCCTGTCTTCCCATAAGCATGTGTTATTTGGGAGACAGTGTGGTATCCAGGAGAGGTCAGTGGACTGCAGGGGGAACGAAGTCCAGTTGTCATTCAAGGTCGGCCACTTCCTAGGGAAAGTGACCTACCCAAAGTCACCAGTAAGTGCTTGCGGTTACTGTAATGACTCGACCCCCGCCCCAGCCAGAAAACTTTTCTTATGATACATATTTAAATGGTGTCGGATAAACACTGGGGAGATAAGAACTCCCAGGGTCTGTGCTTATCAGGACAGATTTCCACTTTATTATACAGACACTATTTTGAATGTGCAAATTGGAAGGAAAGATTCTCCTTGCCACAGTCAAATGTAATACCTCTTGTGGAGCCCAGTTGACCCTAGTGCGGGGTGGCGGGGGGGTGTTACAGGAGGAACTATTCCCTGACTTGTCTGCTCCTGACTTACCCTCACCGGAAGTAGCAGGAGCGGGGGTGGGAAAGGAAGATGCCCATGTGAGTCTGTGCACCTGTCCCTCCTTCCTGGTCCCCAGGCCTTTGCTGAAGGTAGCCCATTCTTTTTCTCCCTCGTCACCTTTAGTCAGTTAACATGGAGAGAAGATCAAACTACGGGAAGATCCGTAAGGGATACCACGGGATCCAGAGGGGAATACCAAAGTCATTTTTCCCCTGTCCTGCCTGTAGAACTGCTGGTAAGCCCTGGGCTGCGAGAAGGCCTTGGAGCTGAGATGGCTTAGAATAAAGCCGAGAGATGATCTGTGAGGTACCTTTCCCTGCCTTCCACCACCTCAGGGGGTGGATGCATTGGTGCAAGTCAGCTGTCAACTGCAACCCCATATATTCAGACGTGTCTGCACAACATGACAAGCATCTGCAACTTACAAGCAGTGGCTTCAGCATCTGTTTGGGGAGATCTTTAAGAAGGACTTGGATAATTTCTTTCTTTCTTTTTCTTTCTTTTCTTTCTTTCTTTCTTTCTTTCCTTCTTTCTTTCCTTCCTTCTTTCTTTCTTTCCTTCTTTCTTTCTCTCTTTTTCTTTCTCTCTCTTTCTTTCTTTCTCTCTCTCATTCTTTCTCTCTCTCTCTCTTTCTTTGTTTCTCTTTCTTTCTCTTTCTTTTTTTTAATATGGCTCTCTTTGGGCCAAGTTGTTTATACACCTATGGGCATGTATCCAATGGCTTGGCTATTAAAGTCTTTAAGTGACAGCTTAATATATTTCTAAGATGGAGGAAGCCAAGGACAATTCTCGAGGAGCCGTGTTGATGTTGGATTGGCTGGCCGAGGCAGTGTGCCAGCAGTTTTGCATGCGGCAGGAACTGGAGGTGAAAGCAGGAAGGGCTGAATTATGGAGGGGAGGGCAGAGCTGGAGGACAGGAAAGCCAGGAGGGACGTGATGTGGAGAAGCGTGGAGGGGGACGCCCAGCTGAACCTGGCAATGCACTAGGACGAACCATTCTTTCATGCTCCTCTGACATGGTGCTGAGGGGTGAGAAAGAGAACCCTCCGGAGCCGGTCCACTGGCACACTCACAGTCAGCAGTGAACGTGCTCTCTGATCTTTTTGTTCTAGTCCTTTCCAAACTCCTGCAAATGGCTCTTTGGCAGCCAAGGGGCCTGTATTCTTACAGAGCCTACTGGGCCCTGGCCCACCTTCTTAGCAATCTCAGAGAAGGGGCTTGACCTGTATGGGTCTCAGTTTCCTAATCTATAAAGTGAAAAGAGCTCTGTGTCTGCTTCCAGGCCTACCATTCCAGCACTCCAGAGTGAAATGCTCAGTGACTGATGACCTCTGTTGTGTAAGCAGATTTTGTATCTGTTGGGCTAGAATGAAGACAAGGTCATCGGTCATTGCTGTAGGTTATCAAGGCTGAGCAGCTGGCTTTCGCTCAGCCGAATGAAAATTAGTTACTCGTCAGACGGGTCAGTCAGCTGAAGAAAAAAGAGCACGTCCCTCATTCCCCAAAAGACTCCTTTCAGCAATCACACACCCGCTGAAATACACAACCACCACTGACAATAACAATGGCTACATCTATTTGCGCTCGTGTGCTGAGCCCTTTGTACGCATCAGCTCATTTCACGATCACGGGCCCCTTGGGAGGGAGATGCTTTTAGTGTCTCCCAATTTTCAGATGAGGACGCAGACTCAGAAGCTTACCCAAGAGCACACAGCTAGTAAGTGGTGGAGCTGGGATTTGAACCCAGATCTGGTTACAAGAATACTAACTGCTTAATAAACAAGAGAAGAACACATCCACAGTGGTGGTTGATTCCACCAAGAGAAATGGCATTTGGCCTTCCAGGCTTTTTGTTACCAGGGCATGGTGGCTAGTTCCTGATTCTCAGGGAAACTCTCCATGCTAGGAAACCTCTTTCCCAGTTGAAAAACAAATCATGACTCAAGAGCCGCCAACGGGAGCATTCGACTCAGCACAGATGAGAGGACGTAGGGAACTATTTCTACGCCCTGCCACGAACTATGGATGTGACCCACGGCCAGTCCCCCTGTCTGCCCGGAATTGGATAGATGGTCTCAAAGCCTACTCCAGGTTTGGGATTTTATGTTCTCTCTCTTGAAGACTTTTTTTCTGACTTTCCAGCTGCTAGGGATTCCCTGCAGCGCCCATCCCTTTGGGGGCAGGGCAGTGGAGTCAGCTTGTAGCCCATTTGAAATCATTTCTCATTTTGTAAACAGGTCCCTTGAAGCTCTAAGGGGCTACGAAATTGTTTCAGAATGCCTAAGTGTGATTATGCCTCCTGAAGCCAAATGTTAGAAAACCCCCACTGTTGCAGATTTTGAAAGTAAATTATGCAATAAAAGTTGTGCAGCGTGCTGTTGACGTGACCCAGTGTTTAATCACCGCTGTACAGCTCAGGAAGCACAAGCTTATACAAAAGCAAGTGGCGCTTTCCCCCCGTTCCCTTCCCTTTTCTTGACTTTCTGAGTTGATGACATGGGTTAATCAACCAAGTGGTCATCCTCCTCTGTCACAGTCCCAAAGGGTAAAAAATACCCGCCCTTTCATCTCTACCCACCACATTCTTCCGCTAAGCCTGTAATTGGATCTAAATGGAAAATAAACGCTTTGCAGGCCAAGGAAGTTGGCACTAGAGGGTGACAGGTCGGAGGCTGTGTCCCACCTCTAATCCGGATAATCACACGCTCCCATGCAAAGGAAAGTAAAAGCAAGCCTTCCTCCGAGCGGTGGCCTGGGCTGGTGCTGGGGAGGGGTGTTCCGTGTATCCTGTTTCCCTTCACCCACTAACCGTCCACTAGCTTGTAGTGAAAGCACCCCGAACCATCTGATTTTCCAGGGGACAGTGAGACGCTGCCCCTTTAGCTCTGAACTCTTTTACGTTGGCTGAATTTGGGGAGGCAGTTCAGACACACAAATATCCCGGTTGCCGCCACAAGTTAGAAAACAGTAACGCACGAATTGTACTGTCCGAGAACACCACGGTCTTAGCCCGTTCACTTGTAGTTGATTGAGTCCTGCTGTGCGTGGCGTGCTGCATCAGGACAGAGATGAGCGACAAAGGTTTGTCCTCCAGGAGTTCAGAAAGGTGGGTAGAGAAGTGAGAGCAGTGTGTGCCTGACTCTCTGGTGGTAGAAATTACCGGGTATCTTACCAAGGTCTAACATGCGGTGAGAATTCCAAAGGAGGAGAGGTGACTGGATTCTGCACATAGTCTGGCAAATGCAATGGGGGCAGGTACATTCCAGAGAGATGCCCTGATGAAGTCTGCCCCGGTGTACACATTCACAAGGGTCTGACGCACTCTCTGTACGCGAGTCTGGGGCAGGCCAGCCATGCAGTGGCGTAGCTGTAAATCAGATGCGTGAATCCTGCACCTCTAAGTGGCTGGCTTGCATCTTGATTCTGACATAGGTTTTTTTTTTTTTTTCCCCCTTCTCATTCTACTCCTGCATGCCCCCCTCCACCCGCCCCCCCCCCCCATGCCTCTGGTAATGGCAAATGTCTAAAGAGGAATTTGCCCTGTAAGACCAAGTTCTCTTTGGGAGATGACCCTACAGGGGACCATCGCTGTTACTGCTTCTGTGAGGGAGGTGGGACCTATCATCCCCCCATGGGAAACAAGGGAACTGAGGCTCAGAAAAGGGACTCGGTCATTGTGATGCAGCTAAAAGGTGGCAGGGCTGCGGTTTCGATGCCAAAGGTTTTCCTTAGGCTCTGCTGCCTGCTGGGAGCAACTCTCTGTGACGCTGGGCCTCAGTTTCTCCACTGGTCTAGGCTGTCTCTCGGCTTCCTCCCAGCTCACAGGTCCTCTAAGCCTCTGGCCTGTGCCCCCTCCCAACTGCCTGCAGGTACGTAAGTGGCGGTGGTTGGAGCTAGGGCACAGCTGCAGGCCCCTCAGGCAGTAATTCACCCCTGACCTTCTGGGCTCCCGGCCAGCCCTTCTTGAAAGGGAAACGTGCAGACCCTGGGGACAGAAATTAGTTCCCGTGTGCTGGAATTGCTGCCACTGCCAATATCACCAACTAAAGAAACGTGTGTGTGTGTGTGTGTGTGTGTGTGTAAAACACAAAACGCTAGGATGACGTGTGTGTGTGTGTGTGTGTGTAAAACACAAAACGCTAGGATGACAGCAAAAAGGGAGATTCCTTGTGAGTAAATATAACCCCCTCCCCAAACCTTCACCTCAATCACATTTCAGAAAAAGTTTTACCTTATTTAAATTTTAATTAGCATCATCAGAGAACTAAGATCCTTGGCAAAAACTTTACACGACGGCCTTTAAGAGTAAAATTTGGAGGGTGTGCCTGTTAGCTCAAACATGTATTCCCAGCTTTTCTATTTTCTGTTAAGTCTCGGAATTTAATGAATTTCCTTCTCCTTACTTCTAGGTAAGCCGCCTCAAACACAGAGAGGGAAACGGGGAAAGAAAGAATCTGGGTAAGTACAGACAGATCGCAGCTCACCTTCTGAACTCCTGGGTTGAGGTCCATGGCCACCTTTGCCATCCTCTTCTGCGGTGGACAAACAGCGCCTGGCTTCTCAGGCAGAGGCGCGAGGGCGCGCAGCGGGGACAGTGGTGGCTGAATGGCCAGGATCGCTGGCCCAGGGCGAGCTCTGCTCGCAGCCCGGCGCGGCGGGGCCCTTTAATTGGAGAGCGGGACTCCCTCTAAAACCTCGCCAGCCAATCGGCGCGGGCGCTCGCGCTTGGCCAGCCAATCCCAGCGCGCGGCTCCCCCCTCCCTTCGGTTGGTCTGGGTCCGGCCGGGAGGCTGTAGCTGAGTGAGTGAGCGCTGCCCTTACGTCAGTGCGGCCGCGGCCCCTGCCTGCCCGGGCGGCGCACATCTGTCCCTGAGCGGCAGGAATCCGTCCCCACGCCCTTCTCCTTTAAAGGACAATGGGCAGAGGGTGGGGCGGGCCGCCGGCCCCGCGATCCATTCAGGTCAAAAGGGAGAGTGATCAAACAGGAAGGCTCGGGTATTTTTAGTGAGCTGGGTCCAAAAATAAATGCTGAGCTGTGTTCCCCTGCCCACCCTTTCTGCCTTGTGGTAGAGGGGTGGGCAGGTGGCGTGCAGCAGCTTTGACTAAGCTGGCTAGCTTTTCCCAAACCTGGGCAAGTTTTCCAATCATCGGAGAGGAGGTGAGATTGCAGTGAGTTGTGATTTGTGTTTTAAACTTAATGTTTGTAAAGTATTATTCTGCCTTTTATAACTTGCTTTCGTGTCAGTCCTCCCCGTTCAGGGAGGAAGAGAACACCGTCCTGATTTTATAAGTGGCAGCGTGTACATCTTCACTCCTGTAGTCATATTTTCTCGTTGTTATCTAATAATCATCTCAGGTATTGCTATTGCTACCATGATAATGATGATGATTGTCACTCCCATTTAACAGAGGAGGGAATAGGATCAGAGAGGGTCACTGGGACAAAGGCGAACTCTTCAGCAAGGCTTTAACCTGAGAGAGGGAGCCTGAGAGCTCATCTGGGGAGAAGGAACACAGGATAACAAGCCATAAACTAGGAAATTCCTATTTTTTTAGATTAATTGAGTCATGCAGGTCTGGACAAGCAAGATTCCATCTGTGGATTTCTCACATCCTTGGGAGGAAGTCTCTTGCAACATCTAACATCACAAGTCCTAGAAGACAGAATCGGCCAGGGCTCACTGTGTCATGCTGTCTGCCTATAACCCACAGCTGTTAAGCCAGTTCCACAGACCTGGGTTCCCAGAGCCATTTTCCCTGCCTAGACAGAGGATTAAACACAGCCCCTTTTCACCTTTTTCCCAGACAAGAGAGTACTCTGTCATGAGGTTTCCGTCCTGTAACCCACATTGGCAGTGCCCCCCTGCTGGAAACCAGGGCTCAAGTGGGCCAAAATAAAACCCGGCTGCAAGAATGCAGGGTGGTTTCAGAGTACGTCGTGTGGGACTGATGTGAGGGGACAGGGAAGCTGCAGGTCACTTTCTAGGGCTTTTTCTCTTATTGGAGATGCTTTCCTTCTTAAAGCCTCCTCCAGTTTGGTTCTTAACACATCATCATCCTCAGCAATCCCGAATCTTGACCCGTGATCCCAAGTTGTGGTTCTTTTTTCACATTCCTGGAAAGGGCTTTCTATCTGTGACTCCTTTTTTCCGAGACGCGGGATGATCTTTTTCTCCTTTCATGGATTTCCGCTCTGATTAGTGTTTGTCTCCCTTGCTCCCACCTGTAGCCCCGACACCTAGCCCATGATTGATGCTCAGAACACATCTGGGGAATGAATGGAGGTTGCGTTCTGGCTTTGAACCAGCAGTGAGCTGGCAAGGTGGGACTGGGAGAGATGGCTCAGTGCCACCCCTAGTCTGGTTTGTCCAAATTTCCTAGGTGGGCTGCATGATTAAACCAGGGTGTAAATTAACCGTGGCTGACGGACGGAAGCCTGGACTGGGAGAGGTTTCCACGTGAATAGCCCTTTCAGTAGCAAATCTTAGAAACAATGGTGTTGAACTGGGATGTCCTGCCAGAAGCCTTTAGACTTCAGAGCTGTGGGAACAGAAGCCAGGAGAATAACAAAGGCAGGCTTTATCCCTTGCAAACTAGGCAGAAGCCTACCCAGTGAAGTCATTTCCCACTCTCTTCCCAGCCACCCTCCCTGCCCCATTTTGAGAAATTATTGTTCCATGGAATAATTTGACTTTTATGAACTGTAACACTGTTTAGCTCCAAAAAAGACAGTCTTCCCCTCTTCTTATTTTTACCCTTGGCTACAGTTCAATTAAGGAAGCAGGTATTGTGGCTCTTTCTCAGAATATGAGTATCAGAAGCTACTGCTTGACGGCCTCCCTGGTGGCGCAGTGGTTATGAATCCGCCTGCCAATGCAGGGGACACGGGTCCAAGCCCTGGTCCGGGAAGATCCCACGTGCCACGGAGCACCTGAGCCCTTGTGCCACAACTGCTGAGCCTGTGTTCTGGAGCCTGCAAGCCACAACACTGAAGCCCACGTGCCTAGAGCCCGTGCTCCACAAGAGAGGCCACCGCAGTGAGAGGCATGTATACCGCAGCGAAGAGTGGCCCCTGCTCACCACAACTAGAGAAAGCCTGCACGTAGCAACGAAGACCCAACACAGCCAAAAATAAATTAATTAATTAAAAAAAGAAAAGAAAAAGAAGCTACTGCTTGGATGGCCTTGTCTCTCCTTTCTGGAAAAGAACCTGTCACAGGCAGAGAGCTGCTCCCTGCTTCCTGTAGTGCTTAGTCTGTTCTCAGTTGAAGATGCTGACTCTGACTCTTTAAATCCTACTCTCAAGCCAAAGGTTCCAGGGGACCTATAGTCAGAGTTTTGACTGGACACCTGGACAGAGTCTTATAGTCCGGACTGTTCTGGAAAATGGAGGCAATAGGGCCCATTATATCTCAGCCTCACTCCATCTCTGGGGTCCTTTTGCTTCTCTTTGGGAGAAAATGGGGTATCTTTCCAGGTTGGAACAGCAAAGAGATCTGATTTCCCCAAGGTTCATTGCTTGGTGGTGCTGGGGCTTATCAGAAGCTTCATTCATCCATCAAGTAGTTTTGGGGGTGCCTGCCTCAAGCCAAGCCCTGTTTTAAGTGCTGGGGACACCCAGGTAAATAAAAGAATTCTTCCCCTTCAGGAATGTCTTGGTCTGATCAATTTCACTGGGGCTTTTTGATTCACAAAGCTCTTATCTTACTTGACCTTCAAGACAACCGTGGTACAATTCTAATTATTCCATAATAATTCTAATTATATCTCTGGGAGAAAATGGAGATTTGGGACAGTCACGGGTTCCATCCAAGGTCATACTCCAGCAGGTGGCAGAGGTGAAATTCAAACTCAGGGCTTTTAGCTCCGGACTGTGTCCTCTGAGTTATCACGCTGCCTCCCATAGTGACTGTCAAGGATTGATTACAGGACAAGAGTCAGCATTCAGAGCAAGGTGATGGTGTCGTTATCCTTGTCATTGGGTTTGTCCTAAGTGGGACTTTTTGACTCTGAGTTTCATGCTCTTTTCACTGTTCATTCATGCATTCAACAAACATTGAGCTGAGAACTCTAATGGGTGAGGCCCTGAGCTGTAGATATGACATAGACTGAATAAGACCGGAAAGGTTCCTGCCCTCATACAGCTTCTATTCCGGTTGGGGGAGACTGGCGTGGAACAGGTGAACAGATCATTAGATGAGGGAACTAAGAATGGCAATGAGGGCCTCAGAGGAAATAAATGGAGGAGTGAGTCACTGGATGTGTGGTCCCTTGAGATCAGGTGGTCCAGGAAGGCCTGACTGAGGAGGTGATGTGTGAGATGAAACCTAAAGAGGGAGTTCGAGTCAGCATGGCGATGAGCAGAGTTGCCACAGAAAGAACATTCCAGAAGGATGGAGTCATGAGTGCTAGGACCCTAAGGTGGGCATGAGCTTGATGTGTCTGAGGGATCATAGGGTCATTACAGTTGGAGAGTAATGAGGGACAAGGAGAATTTGTGAGGAGACCTTGTGGGAACTGGATCACCTTGGATGCTGTTAAGGAGTTTTAAATTTTTTTTTTAATTTATTTTATTTATTTATTTTTGGCTGCACTGGGTCTTCGTTGCTGCATGCGGGCTTTCTCTACTTGCAGCGAGCGGGGGCTACTCTTCGTTGTGGTGTACGGGCTTCTCATGGCGGTGGCTTCTCTTGTTGTGGAGCACGGGCTCTAGGCACGAGGGCTTCAGTAGTTGTGGCACGAGGGCTCAGTAGTTGTGGCTTGCAGGCTCTAGAGTGCAGGCTCAGTAGTTGAGGCGCACAGGCTTAGTTGCTCCGTGGCATGTGAGATCCTCCCGGACCAGGGCTTGAACCTGAGTTCCCTGGGTTGGCAGGTGGATTCTTAACCACTGCACCAGCAGCAAAGTCCCAAGGAATTTAAATTTTTTTCTGAGGACAGTAGGAAACTATAGATCAGTGCTTTCCCACTGAGATATAATATGAGCCTCATATATCATTAAAAATTTTCTAATAGCCGCATTAAAAAAGAGTTATAAAAAGGTAAACTATATTTAACCCCATATATCTGAAATGGTGTCACATCCACTTGTGAATGATGTAAAACATTATTGAGATGTTGTATATTCTTTTTCTGTGCTACATCTTTGAAACCTGGTACGTATTTTATACTTACAGGGCGTCCCAGCTAAGGTCAGCTACTTTGCAAACGCTTAATAGCCGTGCGTGGCCAGTGGCTACCATACTGGACAGGGTGTTATAGAGCTTTAAGTAGGGGAGTGGCAGTATCTGATTTGCTAGTTAACTCACAGCAAGGACACCCAGGAGTTTCTAATAGAAACTCAGTTGGTAACTAACAACCTCTGATTATCAGAGTGTGAGGCTGAGAGGCTGGGAACCCACAACTGAGTTTCTGGCCTCCTATGTGTGTTTCAGGCATTGAGCTGGGAGGGAAAAGTGATTTCCTCAAAGTAAGAGAGCTAGAAAGAGGCCAAGCAAAACCTGGAACCCAGATCTTTTAGTTCCATGCCAATTTAGAAAATCCCCAATCATCATGGCTCACAAAGATGATGTTTTTACTGTTATAATGTAGCAAATGTGGCTTAGTTGTTTTAATATGCAAACATGCACGGTGGCTTCTATTTGGTTATGATT